ATGATATAGTAACAAAAAAGGATCCCCCCAAAAATGTAGTTTGTACTTTGAGGCTTTCAGAGGATCAGAGCCCATTTTAGGACAATTCTAGTATTATTTTGGAACTTTTTCTTTCAAAATGGAATTGACTTTAAGTTTTGCATATGCCTATACATACATGCTTGTTTGTTTTTATTTTACACATAGGTGTATTTCATATGCATTTTACTTACTGATATAAAGGCGTGTTGTCTTTCTGGACCCTTTGGGCTCTGGTGGCTACATGACTCTCCTATCATGTGGCAGGGGTCCCAGATCTCTTAATTCTTTCCTTTCCTCTCCAGATAGTCTTCCTCCTCATCTCAGTTTTCAGGTTTGTTATTTATTTGTTAAGAATTTGTGATTTTTGTCTTGTCCAGGAAAAGGATGCTTTTGCAACAGTAACATTGTTCAGACTATTTTATTGGTTTTAAAAAATGTAGAAATGCCTTTAGGTGTGGAAAAAAGCAAGTTACTGGGAGTAGCCTTCAAAGTTGCCTGTAAGTTTGCAGTGAGCCAAGATTGAGCCACTGCACTCCAGCTGGAGAAACAGAGCGAGACTTCGTCTTAAAAAAAAAAAAAAAAAAAGAAAGAAAAAACAGCCTCCAAATGGCTTTTTCTTCCTATGATATCTTTGTTCTCTTTTTTGTAGCTTATAATGTGAAATTTGTGACACTTTCTGTTTTATTATAAACATGAATAGCCGACAATTATTGGCTAAAGTATTTTCTATGTAAATTGTTTATCTCTGGGTAATTTGGGTCCAGTCCCAAGTGGGCCCTGGTCTACAGGCCAGGGTAAATAAGTTCATCCAACATTCTTAGATTTTCTTTTTTACAGCATAATATGGGAATAGAAAACCAGTCATTTCCTTATCAAGGGTTTATTGCAAGTACTTGTATATTGGTTTCTTTTAAGCCTGGCAACTGCGATTGTAAGTTACTTCTCCTTATAGTTACCTTACCACAGAATAATCTGTTGTCAATCATTCATAATGGCCTGACAGTTATGGGGGGAAAAAGCATTGAAAAACATTGGGGGGTTCAACTACAAATATGTTTAATACTCTTGGTCATTTTTTTCTGAAAAGATAGTGATGGATTATTTAAGATATTTAAAAAGCAAAAGTCATGATAGTATAGTATTACTGCTCTGTAACCAAGATCAGCCAAACATGAAAAGGTATTGAATGGGGGGGGTGGGGGTGGGGGGGTTGTCAATCCCTACTTGTTGGCGCCCCCCAGTGGGGAACTTTAGATTGCTAGCATCATCCTACATAGAATGGACATTTTTGGAAATGAAAGTAGGGAAAAGCAAGGTAGAGGGCAAAACAAAAACAAAACAAAAAATGCAAAAGCCTCAAGATGGAGAAAGAGGGCAAAATGTAGAGACATGGAAAAAAATTGACTTCAAGTATTTCACAACTTTCAAAGGTCAGGGAGGAGCTGTGAAGAGACATTTATAAAAATTTGTTCATTATTGTGCCAACACCAAGCTAAATACTTGTGAAAGCTAATTGATAGAATGTACCAACTATATGAGATAGGTTTTATTGTTTTCTCCATAAAGAAAACTGGGATTCAGAGATTTTACAGTTTAAATAACTTGTCTGGAGTGGAGCAGCTATTAGGACATAGGCTGGCTGACTGCAGCATCTCTGTTTTTAGCTGATTCATATAGCTTCTACTATGCTCTTTACTGATAATCATATTGTAATCTTTTTAGCTAATGAGAAAGATACTTTAAACACAGGAATTTTTCCTTCATTGAATCTTTATGAATGAATAGATCACTTCTTGATATAGTAAAAAAAAACATTATTCTGATATTTTGATAGCTGAATGATATTAAATATATCTACCATTTGTGTAGAAAGGTACATAATTTTAATATAAAAATACCATTAATGGATTAGATATTTTTAGTGAATTGAAAATATTGCATTACTTAAAAGCAAATTTGATCTAAGATGGTCTAATTTCATAAAGTAAATAAATTCATTTCATATGGGGAGAATAATGTGATATTTTGTCTATTCTAAATAATATTGTCATAGACATATTCCCTTCATTACAAAGTATTCTCTAGGAAATAGAAGTCAAACTCTTTATTCTGGTGTACATATTTCTATTCTTAACAACGTGTTTGTTGTACAGCAGTGGTTTAAATGGTTACAGAGAAGCTTCTAGAATGTTTTTTATGTCAACATTCTTTAACCACAACATTATGCAGGATTTTCTGGTTGACTTTCTGCTCTTCCTCAAAGAGAAACTGAAATCACAGAAGTAGAGGAAATATGTCCATTTACTCTTACTTTTTTCTGTCTTTACTTGGACGTTATCACAGTTGCCTGAACCCAAAACCACAGTGAAATAGAAAATAGCCTCCTTGGAAACACATTTGCTCTGTAAAATAATTGTCACTAAATATTTTGGGATCAGCAAACTAGTAACTTTCAAGCACTTTTGGATAATATTACTGCTAATGTAAAACTGGCAAAGTTTAGTCAATTCCAATATACCTATTGGGAGCCCAGGAAAATATTACCTTGGAGAATTTTATTAACTAATATAGTACTGAATGATTTCAGTTTCTCTGGTTAACCTCTCTCACAATAACCTGGTATTCTGTTCATGCTTGTGGTATTATGTTAGTTTTGCCAAGAATTCCTTAGATAAATCAGATCTACATTTTGTTTTTGATATTGTATAGTGTTTATATATTTTTACTTGGTATCCATCTGTAAAAGAAGTAATAATTCTTAATATAATTGGACATAGAGTATCTAGTAGGACTTCTTTACATATCTATGAAATGTATGTTAATTTTTGACCAGTTTGAGAGGATGAACAAAAAGAAAAGAAATATTTTTTTAATCTGGAATCTCCCCAAAATAATCTCAGTATCAAATATATTGAAGTAATGTGTCAAATCAAGTCCAGGGAGTATCAAATCAAACCCAGGGAGTAAACAGTGGGGAAATGGGCTCTCAGGGGCTTTGAGGAGGTGGAAGCCAATGTGCTATTTGTGGAAACCTGGGTATAACTGTTAGTCTCTAGGAAAAGGATGTGAACTAGCTGACACTGGGATTGGCTTCAGAAACAGAAGTTGATTTAGGATATCTGTAACTAATTCCTGCTAACATCATGATTGTGTAAGGGCATAGGGACTTGAATAGTCATGAAAACTTTAAATAATAAAAGACTAGTAAGAAATTCAGCTTCTCAGGCCTGATACAGTTATTGGTAATCGCATGTACCCTTTAGGAATTCTGGGGGCCAAGGTTATTACAGTGACCGAACTGTACCAGTTTTCCGGCATAGAACAATGTATAGTCACCTTACTTCTGAGAAGAATTTACAGACATATTTTAGTTAAATTCAGGAATTAGTCTGAACTTTTAGCAAATTTTCATGCGCGTGTGGGTATTTGAATGGCAGGAGGTCATAGGGTGGTTTCACGCCAAATTGTGGTTCATTGCAATGGAGGCACTTATTTTGAATAACGTTTATATTAATTGATTGCATTGAGAATATGCATTTTCTGCCTAAGAAGATATAATTCATTTCATAGTCATAACTCAGTGATTTTACTTTTACTTTATTTTTTAGAGTGCTTATTAGGTGTACCGCAATCATGTTTTGTATTGTTAAAGGAATTTATATTGTTTTTATATTATTCTCTACTTATGTTTATAAAGCTTGTATTTTCAACTAGATTGTGAGTCCCTTGTTGGTAGTCATTGCTCCCATACCACTTTTGTTCTCAGCAAAGGGTGTAATGAAGTGGCAAACAGAATTGAGCTAAATAGACTGAATTCCAGTGTATGATTCAAGTTCAGATTTTAAAACTAGAACTATGTGCTTGTGTCTTGCCCTATAATTGTGATTAGAACATTGATCAATAAAGGCTATATTTATAAGCGCAAGATGTGAAAATAAAAATAATGGCAGACTCCTCCTGTCATGGAAGACACTTGATCTCATTGACAATGGCAGCTCTGCCACCTGCCCTGATGTACTGAAGAGTCCTGCTTTCCTTTGGAAGTCCTGCTAGTGCAGAGGGTTTTCAAAGTCACACGGATATGACCCAATTTCCTTGTCTTCATTGTCAATACATACGTATTAATATAAATTTTGTTAATTATTTCAACTAAAATGTCACTTTAAAAGGTGCTAAGAAAATTGAATAAGAAACAAAAATTCATTAGCACAATCACTGCTTGTTTTGTGTGATAAATGATCATTTTGGGTAAATACATGAAAAGACAGACAATAGAACTGTTGTGCAACTAATAAATATGCTAAATTTCTTCTTAACTTGATAGAATTAACATTAATTTTCTCTGAATGTTGCTAGAGACATGTGCATTTGGGTTCAGCCATGTGAAAGAGTGACCTCTACGTCTCTGTCTCTTTACAAACTGCGGTCTTCATATTCTTCGTGACTGCATCAGCAAGGGAAATATTAAGAGAAAAGATTGCCTTTTTTTACCTGAATATTTAGGTTCTTGGATATTTCAAGGCTCAGGTTGGAGGAAATAGTTTCATTACATTAATTTTTAACTTAGGCGGTGAAACAGTGAGGGCCTGTGGAACTGTTGTGCTAAACCAAAGCTTGTTTCATTTAACAGATTTTCTTGCATGATTCATTATGAATAATATAAGAATGTGTTCAAATGAAGCATCCTTTTAATTGTTTCACTCGTGTTGAATGATACAAGAACTGAGATTAATTTCCTCATGGTTTCTTTTTCAAAAAGCCTTTATTTAAAGCTCTAAGTATCAGTAATATTCATATAATGCTGTATCTCATAATTTGTCTTTTCCAAATTGGATTATTATAATTAGCAATATTATAATATGCATACATTTGAAAATATGTGTTATTTACCAGTTAAAATTCCAATTGTGACTGATTCTTCTTTAATGATAAAGTCTTTGACTTTTTGTAAGTTAAAAATTGATTTTATTTGTTTTTAGGGAATCCCAGGATTTCCTGGAAGCCAAGGATTAATGGGCCAAAAGGTGAGTATTCGTGAGAGTTAGCTTTGTGCCTGGATCTGCACATTTAATACATTCTTCTCTACCATAGAATATATTTTTACATTTGTGCTAACAGTTAATTTTTCAAATACAATATAATTTTAGAAGTTGTTTTGGCTTTGCAAATTTGCATATATTGTTTTGTTGTTTTATAGAGATAATATTAATCTAGATTTACATTATATGAATCCTTTTCAATTTTGTTCTCTAAGATAATCATGGTATAAATCTTTATAGTTAATTTACTTAACTATATTTTTGAATGTCTTTTTAGTACAGATCTTGGTAATAAACTTTCAGGTTTTATTTAATTGCAAACTTCTTTATTTTGCTCATTTTGAAAGACGATTTTGTAGACTGTACAACTCAAGGTTGACAATTATTTTCTCTTAATAAATTGAAGATTTTTCTTCTATGGTTTTCTGGCTTTCATTGTTAACTGTGAATAGTCTGCTGTGATTCTAATTATCATTATAAGTGATCTATATCTTCCTTTTAGAACCTTTTAAGGTATTTTATTTGTTTTTGGTGTTCTTCAAATTCATTACAATATATATAGACATATCTATATCTCTTTATTCATCTTGCTGGGATTTCAGTTTGCTTTCTGGCTCTGTGGAATTATTTCCAGTAGTTTTGGAAAGAATCAGCCATTATCTCTATATTACCTTTGCTCCGTTCTCTGTTTCTGAAATTCTGGTTAGATTTTTTTTTATATCTTCTAATTTTATACTCTACATCTCTTTTTAGCATTACTTACCATATTTCCATATGTTTGATTATCTTGCATTCTAGTTAAATGATTTAGATGTATCTTATAGTTTACTTATTCTTTCTTTATTTTGTCTCATCTGTTTAAACAATCAGCTGATACTTAAAAAAAATTGTAAACACTCATAATTTTCACTTTTAGAGTTTATAATTTTTAAACTGCAACTTTTTGTTCTTGAAGTCTCTTGTTATATTTTTAGTACTGATAGTCTTTTATGATTGTTTTTTTAATTTTAAAAAATCTCATTTCTATTTCTAAATTCTGTTTCTAACAATTCTAATGTCTGCAGTTTATTATTTATTGTTTCCATTATTATTTATTATTTATTTTTCTCATCCCTGTAGCTTGCTGTCTCTTCTTTCTATATTGTTTATCATGAGCTCATTGCTTCATCTTAATTTAGAGGGTGTCCTGTCAGCCTAACTGGGAAAGGAAGACCTGCCTTCTGCCGGTAGTCAGGGATACCATTTCAGCCCCCTTTGAAAGTCCTGAGTCATCATAGGTATTGAAGATTCCTGCTTCCTTTCCATGACTGGCCAACATTCAGTGTCCTAAGAGCAGAGGACGTACCCTCAGATACTCCCACTTTTCCTGGTTCCTGCAATTCTGTCTCTGGCAAAGTTTCTGTATAGTTCAAATCCTCATAATTATAGCCCCAAATCGGTATATTTCATTAAAAATGAGACATCTTTCAATACCTCTCCTACTTCTTGGAAGATCAACAGTCTCTCACGGAGGATTATCCTTCTAGGGCTTTTGTTCTGGACTTAGAGGGTTCCTTAGGGAACTTAGCCACAACCCCAGAAGATGAAGCCTAATGCTGTTATTTTTTTACTCTATTTTTTCTTTATTAATTTATGTTCCCTATCATATTTCTTAAACTCTATGATAAATAGGAAAACTTTTCACTTGATTTTTTTTTTTTTCTGCTGTTTACCTTACCAAGTCCATCTAAGCTGCCAGGTCTTCCTTTGAAAGAATGGCAAATATCACTACAAATGTCATAATAAAAATATTGACAGTAAATCCTCAGACTCTATGTCAAGGTCTTTAAGGTGTTAGGTTCCAATTTTTGCCTTGCCTTGTTCCTTCCTTACAGTAGTGGAAGAGAAAGCAGAAAAAGTTAAGCTGATTGGTATTCAATTGTCATTCCATGTGCTTTGGCCAGAAACTTTCTTGAAAAAAACCTGATAATTTACAATTTAAAATTTTGATTTGTGTCTGATTTTTTTAGGGAGAAATTGGGCCTCCAGGACAGCAAGGAAAAAAAGGAGCACCAGGGATACCTGTATGTTGATATCATTATTATCAAAGTGCTGGCAATGTTGTTACTACCTACTAGCTCGTATTTAAGAGTTAATAAAAATGTAGAGGATACAGCACTGAAAATGTTTCAGGTCCATGAGTTCCCTGTAGTTGTATGAAAAATCTTACGTCTATGTCCATTTTTCTGAAGGAGTAAAGATTTCTCCAGCTTCTCAAAAAGTTGTCCAACCATATCAACATCAGGTACCCTAACTGTAGATAAATTAGAAAACATACATTCTAGCTATTAGTTTAAAAATACTAAATACCATTAAGTCTAAATCTCAGTGATTTTTTTTTAGTTAAAAAAACCAAACTTATTACACTAAGAGGAAAGGATATGTACAGAAGACATAGTATGGGAAGGTCCTAAAACAGAGTAAATTATTTTAGAATTTTCAGGAGTGAAGAGGGCATATGAAACTGATACTCAAAATTATGACAGTGTTAACATGTGTGCAAGACTTCCCCCCCCATACTAATTTTATTGCTAGAAGTGATGTTGACTTTAATCTCTAAATCAAATTGTCTGTTTTAGGTTCGTATTGAGATTGTATTTTCTAATGATATAATGATTTGTAAATCCCCTTTCCTTTGCCAAGTGTTTTAAATATGTATAATAGTATTTAATGTAGAATCTAAATTGAGCCCTAATTGAAAGAGTAGTACCATTGTCTTATTTTGAATCATATGGTTAAAGATACAGCCATTTTGTAGGTTGAAGAGAGACTATAAGATTATCCAGATAATTTATTAGAATGAAACTCTTAAAATATTGTTCAAGATAATAGAATTCTAAGTAATAAATAATGTTAATTAAGATGACATCTATGAAGACATCTAATTCTTAGCCATCATATCAAAAGAAAAAGTGTAGAAAAGACAAACTTTTCTTTGTTTTTCCTTTTCTAGCTTTCCAATCATTTTTGCTATTTGTGGGCTTTGTAAGCAATAGAATGATAAGCGCTCTGCGAGCCTTCATACTATCTTGCATAATTTGATTTTTACTTTTATTATTTTTTTTGGATGGGGGAGTAATTTTCTGAATATTGTATTACATTTTCAAATACTGTATTATAATTTAGTGAATTAATTACTATGAGAATGTATAACCTGGAAATTGTTTTAATATTTTTAAATATTCTTCTCTAAATTACTCTTAAAATTCCTTTTTAAAATTGTAGGGCTTAATGGGAAGCAATGGCTCACCAGGTCAGCCTGGAATGCCAGGATCTAAGGTAAATATGATAAAATTAACAAGATTGAGAACTTTGTGTAATCACAGTGGCCATTTATGAAAATTTTAACTACTACCTTGATTGTACTTTAAATGTGGTTTTTATTCTATGAAAAAAAATCAATTGTAAGAATGAAATTTGTAAAAGCTCAGCGTAAGAAATAGGCTAAAGTAAAGCTCATCCTGTTATGTTGGAAAGAGTCCAGAAATCTCTGCTACTCAGCCCACTTCTCCCTTTTTGGTATCTTGGGGCCACTGAGTAATACTATAGCTCTTGGAGCTCAGTGCCAAAACCACCAATCTAGAGCATTCATAGTTATAAATAAGAATATCTCTTACAGTATCAGTTTTCTAGTCTTCTTTTTGGTATTTTTATTTAGTGGAATGTATATAGATAAAGTGCCTTGTAGTAAATTGTATTATTCCTGTGAGTAGGGCATATTATCTTTACTTTCAGATTTTAAATAAGTAAGGCAAGCTTGACACATATATTTAGGATATGAGGTTAGTTATTTTCAAGGTAGAACTAAAACTCTTTGAATGTTATTATTTGACCATTTTCTAGGTGTATATAATCCTGTGGTAAGATAACTATTTTGTTTTCTTGGTGAATCAGAGGATCAGATGAGAAACTCAAAAAACTGTTTCCAACTATTTTATTTTGCAAATAGATTCTAGGACACCCTCCAAAAAGGAAGGGATGGAATTGCTATTTTGGAAGCATTCAACCTTTGACTACGCATTGCCTCAGTGGAATAGACCCTGGCATATAAGATCACTAGATTACCTAATCTATTTTACTTTTAATTTCTAAAGTATTTAGAAAAGAGAGAGAAAAAAAGACATGGGAGCCCAATAATGAGAAAATGTAGCTGCTCCTCCATTAGTGGCAGACCCTTGTGGATCCTTGGAGTATTGTGGGCTCCAGCAGCTGTAGGTGCACACAGAGTTGGTATAATACACTGGAGTGACTGAGCTTTCTAAGCAGAAGTTCTCCAGTTTCTCAAGATCATTTGTAAGAAAATACCCCTTATTAACTGGTTCGCAGTGGGCTCTCTCATTGTCTTTTGGATTCTCTAATTCTTTTTTTTTTTTTCTCTCATCACGTCAAAGGAGATTTCAGTGCTATGGCTTCTCTAATTCTTAAGACTGCAGCCTAAAATTTCATCAGCTTTTTTTTTTTTTTTAATTGGATATACCACACTGTTGACTCATACTTATTTGAAGGTCAATTAAATCTGTTGGACTTCCCATAAAATGTTTTAGAACAATGTATTTGTGCTGTCTTCCACTTACACAGATTCTGCTGATTTGGCTGGGTAGGCAAGTGGACATTTCCAGTATCACAGTTTGTTTATTTTTACATGAATTACTCTAAAGTTGTTTTTTTGCATCTTGTTCTTGTACAAGAAAAATAGCTCCAAGATGTTAAAATTATACATATTAAATATAGTCTTTTCAATGAAACATTTTAATTTTTTTCATGGATTATATTAGGTATTGGAAACTTTTTCTGCAAAGGTCCAGAAAGAAGATATTTTAGGCTTGGAGGGCCATACACTCTGTTGTAACTCTCAATTTTGCCATTGTAGTGCAAAATTGGCCACAGGCAACACCCAATCAAACTGGTTTTGGATGTGGCTACTTTCTGGCTAAACTTTAAGAACTTGCATTGGGCAGAACTTAGCCCATGGGTCATAGTTTACTGACCTGTATGTGAGTTGCTTTCTACTAGTTTTGTCAGCTTATTTTTGTGCTGTGAATATCACTGATAGAAGTTCTAGGGTGAGACAAAAAGTATTTAGTAGAGCAGAGACGAGGCTGAAACTGAGATAGATATTTAGAAAACCTCGAATTTAGATTATAATACCTAAAAATAACTGTAGAAACATTCATAAGCCTACTTTACCATGCTATGTTTCAGTTTTAAAAAATGTTATCTACCCATTACTGGGTATGTACCCAAAGGAATATAAATCATTTTGTTACAAAGATACATACACACATATGTTCACTGCAGTACTATTCACAACAGAAAAGGCATGGAACGAACCCAATGCCCATCAGTGATGGACTGGAAAAAGAAAATGTGGTACGTATACACCATGGAATACTATGCAGCCATAAAAAGGAACAAGATCATGTCCTTTGCAGAGACATGGATGGAGCTGGAAGCCATTATCCTCAGCAATCTAAGGCAGTAACAGAAAACCAAACACCGCATGTTCTCACTTATAAGTGGGAGCCGAACAATGAGAACACATGGACACAGGGAGGGGAACAACACACACTGGGGCTTGTTAGTTGGGGCGGGGTAGGGGTGGCAGAGCATCATAAAAAATAACTAATGTGTGCTGGGATTAATACCGAGGTGATGGATTGATCTGTGCAGCCATCCACCATGGCATAAGTTTACCTATGGAACAAACCTGCACATCCTGCACATGTACACCATTGCTTAAAAAAATTATCTAAATAATGTTAGGATATATTAGCTTTATCAAGTCATATAACTTTCAACAAATCTCATGTCTGTGAGTTTCAGTTTAATCATTTATAAAATTAGAAATTTTAAGGAATCTTATTCTGTGGTTTAATAACACTGTTATGTGCTAAATGCTTTAATTAAATGTAATATGATCATCACGTATTTCTTACCAGGAGCAGCCTGTAAAAACTTTTTTAAAAGCTGAAAATGGCATTGGTTTGCCTCACTGATTAGTAAACTCAAATTGGCTGTGGTAATTATTTTCCTCTCCTTCCAGGTGTCACACTAGCCTGTTTACTTATGGGCTTTTCCAGACATTAGGCTGTGATTTCCGGTATCAAAGTATTTGAAAACCAGAACTGCATTTGACAGTCTCTCCTTATTAGCCACCAGACTTGTTTTCTCTTTTTATGTTCAATTTTTTTTTCTGTGTTACATTCTTTGCTCTTTCAACTTAGTCTTGTTCTCCAAGTTTACATCTGTTAGAAAGAACTGCACTGGAATCCTGAAAAAGTACAAACTAAACATTTTCTGATTCACACTTCTTCAAAATAAGCCATTGTACATTTGAAGCTACTTTTCTTTCCTTCAGTTTGGTACAGAAGATGAGTCATACTGAGAAAGTAAAACAGGATAATGATGAGGATCTCAGCCCAGAGGATGCTGTTAAAGTACATGGCTCCCACCTGTGCAGTGTGGAGGCTGGACTTCTTAGAGCTGGCCACTAAGGATTTGACTCTCCTTCCTTATACTTGAAGCAACCAGCTTTAATACATGTTTTAAGAGAGGCTTATCAATGTGTGGAACCCCTTGCTTGCCTGAAAGAATTTTTCTTAATAATTAGGTCTAATGTATACAGTCTATCTTTCAAATAATTGGAAAGTTAAAAATGTAAAAATTATTTTAAATATATTCCCTTAAGTGTCTATATCCGATATATTGTGATAGAATGTGTTTTTAAAAACTCAAATGTTTTTGATGTGTTGACAGGGAAGCAAAGGTGAACCTGGAATTCAAGGGATGCCTGGGGCTTCTGGGCTCAAGGTAATTTTGATGCATTTGAAAATATTTTCAAAGAAATTATAATGTAAATTCCCCTCACTATTTAAGAAAGTTAACATTTTATATCTTTTAAGAGATACAGGAAATTAAGGATTACCTTTCTCTTGAAATTAAGGTACCTGAAATGAAAATGTCATTACAGGGTTTCATTTTTGTTTTTTTGATATTTTGTCATTGGATAATAAAGACATAAAATAAACTTTGGCTTAATTTTTCTAAAAATGGTAAAATTGTATGCAAATATGAGCTTACTTTCTGGTCCAGAGAATAGACTTCTCTTAAACAGCTGAAAACAAGAATGTGTAACTCTCATGAATGATACTGTTCTTTCTTTGCTTATGGGAGTTTTATCTTTAATTTAGAATTCACAATGGCTTTTGCAAGTTTCCTCCAAACAACATGGGTTGATGTTTATTTCATTGGGATTTTTAATTCACTTCCAACCTTCAAAAATCTAGAGAATGATTTGATAGCTAGGGAGTAAGTACAGCCAGCAAAGAGAATACAGCCTCATTTTCTTTTAAAAATAAGAGTGATCTTTAGTTGATGTTGTAGAGTTTTGGACTAATGGTAAAACACAAAACAAAACAGAACCATGAAACATATTCAGGATTATATTCCATCTCTTACAAATATATCCTAAATATTGTCAATACATTATTAATACATGCTTGGAAATAATTTATTTAAGACTTTAAAACAAAAAACTTTATTTCAGAAAAGACAATTCCTATAGGATGATGGAGAGTAGAGAAATGGAATTAAGATAACTCATGTAATACACCCTGTACCGAAAAATAGCTCAAGAATTTATTTCTAAGAAAATAATATTCCATAAGTATAAATATATATACATGTAATTAAATTTAACTACCAGGATGTTCATTCAAGCATTGTTTATAAAAATAAAAATTGTGAAAACTGTAATGTTTAACAGTAAGAATTTTATTAAATAAAATATTGTTGATAAATATGGGTGAATACTTTTCCATAATTAAAAATTATGTTATTAAATATATGATAGCAGAATTAGAACTTTATAATATTAATATATTTAGAGATTAAAAGATATGAAATTATGCATATATATGAGCACATTTCAGTAACTATATATGTGTATTTATGAGAGTTAGAGAAAAAATATATAACGAAATAAAAATATTGAGTTATAAGATTGTTAATAATTTTTATTATTTCTATTTACTTATTTTTTTAAAAGAAAATAAGCTTTTTTAAAGTAGCAATTTGAGAAAAAGCAGTTTCAAGGAGAAAAAGTGTTAGTAAATAGGTAAATGAAAAAGAGATACTTGTGTTTATATTTTTACAACTTTTTAGTTTGTTGTTTAAATTATAAAGTATAATACAAAATAACACATATTTACAAAATTTTAAAATACGAAATGCTGTCAGAATTTTTCAACTGGAAAAGATACAGAAAAATACAAGAAATTTTACTGGGATTCTAGTAAACATTTTATTGTTTGCTATTTCTATAGTAATCACTATCAATAAATTTTTAAACCATTCATTTTAAAACTGATATATGTAGAGGTAAAAACAGCAGTGTTTTTCATAAGCAGTAGATTTGTGATCTTTGTGGAATTTCTGTGTTGCATAGGGAGAACCAGGAGCAATGGGTACACCAGGAGAACCAGGATACATGGGTTTACCTGGGATTCAAGGAAAAAAGGTATGCATTGGTTAGGAGATACAGTTCGCTTTTAATCAGTTACTTGTATACAAGTTTTTCTTTTGTGAAATTGATAAAGTAGGACTTGTTATTAATATATTTTTAATGATAAGGAACCCTATATAGTTGATGTATGTATAATGTGTTCAACCCCATGCTAATAGCTGTGGCATCTTTTATATATCTGCATGGGTATTGTCTCCTAGATGAAGACCTTAGAAAAGGCATGCAGATTAGAAAATATGAATGTGCAGTTAAGTAATATCCTGTAAATTCAGGTTTTTTCACAATCCAGGTGAGCTAAGAATTTTTTAAGGAAAAGTATTCAATGTCAAGCATTCCTACCAAAATATGAATATGTCTCTTGGGAAAACTGGATCAAAATCTGGAATGATAAAACTTATACCCAAAATGTTTGACTATGAAGTTTCTATCTATGAAACAATTATGTTACATAGAAGTTTATTTAAGATTAATTTAAGGAGTTTAACTACAAGTCCAATATACTAATTTAAAATGTTTTAGTGAGGAAAGATCACAGAACTAGGTTTGCTCTGTTCCCTTCCCCACTGCCTCGCTCTCATTTTGGTCAAATATGGAACTTTGACTTGTATATACATAAATAATATATACTTTTATTTATTTGGAGATTTTGAGTAACAATTGATCCCTGTGTGCCTAAGAAGTCCATGCTACCACAAATACATACATTTCAGGTTAAAAGTAAATCTGTTAGTTTTTATTCTGGAAAGGACACAAACTCTTATGTCTCCATCTTTCTCTATCTTCATGTCCCTTGCCATTTGCTTTTCAGCATCTTATTTTCTATCCCTCGTGTGTTGTCTACATGGTGCCTAGATTATCATACGCAGTATGATCCTTGGGCCATTTGCTCTGATGATCAGTAGGCAGCACTAGCTGAGACAGAAATGACCCCACATAGCAGCAATTAAGTGTTAGACTCTTAGTAAATGTTTAGTAAATCTACTATGAATGTATGTTTGGGTTGAGGAGAATTTTCTTGTTAAAAATTTGCCATTTAAAAGAAAATCTGTATTTTTTTTGTTGAAAATGCAAAACTCTACGTTTAGATAGCACAGTGAGGCATTAGTAGAAAGGAAATTCAGAAACAGTGTCCAAGTTCAACTTTGGGCAGGTGCTTAACTGGCTTTTCATTATCTGTAAAAAGAAGGGCCTTGTATAAGTTGGTTTCTAATTTCCCTGCTATCTGATAACCTATCAAACTTATTTTTATGGAATATAAAGGTTTCTTCCAGAACCTCACTTTTGAAGCATGTTTTCTAAAATGTCACTTAAACATTGTGTTTACTTTGTCATTGTTTCCTATAAACTTGTGGCTACTAATAGCTTAATGGTAGTTTTTCAGTTTGATTTCATAAAACAACATTGTCAAAATAAGTCCTCTCTTGTTAGTTTGTCTAACCTAAAACTGTGAACCATGTGGAAGTTTTCTCCTTTCTGGGAAATTAAAGATTGTGGTAAATTTTCTTTCATATGCAGGAGCATGCAAAAGTGTTCTCTTACGATATCATTTTGACATAATGTGGTTCTGCTCTCTTCCCAAATACAGTGTTAAGAGTCAACTTCTGAGTATACAGGCACTTGTGGAATTTGCATAAGATGTTGTTTTTCTTCAGCAGAGAAAAATATATGTTTATTTGAAACTTTACAGAATATGCTAGATTATAATACAGATCAAACTGCCTTTTTGTAGGGGGACAAAGGAAATCAAGGTGAAAAAGGTGTTCAGGTATGTTGTTTGCTTTTTTTTAGTAGGCTGAGCAATAAAATGAGGGCTTTTAAAAAATTCCTGTTTTATTTTTAAATTCCTTTCTGTTTCAACATTAATACAAAGTTGTTAAATCTTATTTTTTCCTTTTGCTATTGAGCTTCTCAGACATCAAATCTGACTTTAAAATTCTTCACCATTTTACTGTTGCAGAAAACTTAGAAACCAAATGATTCAACAAAATAAAGACATAGATTTTATTATATACTTCTAAAAACTATTTATATGCAATATATATAACACATATACACATATACATACACACACACACACACACGTACATACACGTGGTGTATTTCCAAAAATGATTTGAAATTGCTTTATGGCAAAAATAAATTTGATAAAAAAACGTTTAATCCTAAATATAAAACATATTCAAATCAATATATGAAAGGAAAATTAAACCAGAAAATTATGATAGGCTAGGGAAATCTAGGGTGATTTAGAAAGACATTTAGTTTTGGGTGTTTTAGCAGCAAAGGCAAGGAGGAGAACTTTGTTACTACTTTGGGAGACAAGGATAATTTCACCTCAATTAAATTGTCTATGCAATGGGTTTTTTCATTCACTGAAGACTGACCCTTGAGTAGGATGCCACTAGCTGAGTCAGTGAAATCGTTATCTGGAATAAATTATATCTGATGGTCTTTTAATCTTTTAAGGTTTAGAAATATAAAACTTTGCCAACCATAAATTACCAATCAAGTGTTCAGACAGTATTTTAATGATGTTTTAAGGTTGTAAGTCTCAGTGGTAGTGCCTGAGCTTTGCTATGCAGAATAAGATGAAAATATAAATACTCTGAACATTTTCACAAATGTAGAATTCTGAGTGCTCTAGAATTTCTGTAATTGTAAGAGAAAATTTCAAATTGCAATAATCATAGGCAAAATTTGCTATATCCACAGTTATAACAGTCCCTACTTGTAAATTTGTTCTTCGTAACATACATAACATATTTTAGAGTGGTATGACAAAATTCAGTTGTTTTTCAGAAAATTTTTGTTGAAGATCTTCAAGTACTATGATAGTAGGATTCCTTTAATTTTGAAGTTGTGAGTGAGGTAAATGTTAAGTAAGTGTCTGTAAGCTCTAGACCCATATATTTTAATTTCCTTCTTGGTATCGTGTTTAGATGATTCATGGGCACCTCAGGTTCAATATGTCCAAAAACCGAACTTGTCAACTTTCCCCATAAACCACATTGTACTCACAGATTTCCTGTCATGATAATCAGTGCTAAATATCTCTTGAGCTTGACCCTTTCTACCTCTCCCGACTGTTTTTTGTCTGGGGTCCTGGTCTACTGCAATATCTTCCTTACTGGTCTCCTTGAGTCCATTCTACTTCCTTCTTCCACACTTTTACTTGTGTAAAATAGCTAAGCTATATATCCGCTTAGCAATCCTTTAATGGTGCCAATGCATGTTAAGATAAAGCCTGTTGCATCAAGTGCCTTCTGGTCTGACTGAATCTTCTTTAGTGTTATCTCTTGTCACTCTTCCCATTCTTACCGACTCCTGCTCTGCTGCTTTAGCCAAAAGATACTACCTGCCTTTCACCTGTGTCTGCTCTCCCTAGTACACCCTCCAATCTTTTCACCAATTGGCTACCTCTTACTCATCCCCCAAGGCTGCACTCAAGGTTGAATCACATTCCCTACACTTTCTGTCAGATGCCCCTTCCTAAGTTCCAATAGTATCCAACCTAGACGTTTAATTATACATTGTAGACTTATCAGCAGTATTTTCACCATTCCAGATTTAATTGCTTATCTCTCTTACCACATAGTAAGCAACTTGAAGGGCGCCATGATATCTTTGTCTCAGTGTCCCCAAGTGCTAGCAATAGGTGCTGCTCAATAAACACTAGGAAATCACTTATGTAAATTGATGAATACATCACTAGGCAACGGTGATATGAAAATTTCATTGATATTAGCTAGGTATATGTCTTTCTAGAAACTACTATTTTGTGCAGTAAATATAAGGATGAAGTAGTGCTTCAGAGTTTATTAGCATAATGCCCCATGAATTGTAGATACCCCAAAATATTTATTGAATAGATAAATGTATTAATATCCTTATTAATTTTTCTGTTCTCTTTTTTATGCTGATTTAAAGCTCTTCATTTAAATGGCCTTTTTACCAACATGTGACTGTATGTTTTTATTTTAAAAAATGAAATTCTAAAGAGGTTTTCTTGTCCTCACATGTCCATAATCAACAATGAACATAATTGCCACTGAAATTAATACAATGTCCATATCCATTAAAATTTTAAACTATTTTCCCACTGTTGATATGGACTTAGAAGAACATCCTCATTGTCTAGAATTATTTACCTGTTTCCCCGAAATCAGTAGTTTGTGCCTTAGCTCTGTACATTTATTTTAACTATAAGATTAGGATGACTTTACTTCTTCTTTTTCTCTGAGTGACTGACTTTCCCATCTCTCACGTAATTTATATATATGTATCACTGCTTTTGTGACATTTCTTCCGGAACTCAGGGTAGTTTGTATTGTATATGTGATTGCATCATAAGTGTGCAAACTAATTAATAATGTTTATTAATTTTAAAGGGTCAAAAGGGAGAAAATGGAAGACAAGGAATTCCAGGGACACAGGTATTTTTGGTTTTCTTCTGATAAAATAAAGGAATAACAAGTCACATAACTGGACGATGTTGAGAAAGGATTACTTGCAAATAAAAATGGGTGGGGAGAAGGATAGGTATAACATGCATTCTAAGCACATAAGGTTGAACATGTGGATGATGTGGGCATGATGAGTTTCTTTACTTGTTTTGTATTTTCACTTTCCCATACTGATAATATTGGTGGCTCTGAATTTTGGTTTTTAATGCATCTAAGCAGGTGACTGAAGGTAGAAAATTTCGCCCATTTATTAGGAGTAGTTATTGGCCAGAGACCACCAGACACATAATGGCAGCGTGTTCTTACCTGCTGGTTTGTCTTGATTTTCTTCTTGAAAATCAGGGCCACATGTGGTCAAGATATGTACTTGTTTTCCTTTAGTTTGCTCAGAGAGATAATTCACTGCTTTAGAGATACAGTATAATGCGATCCTGAGAGACAGTGTCGTAGAACAGGCGCATAATAAGATGGCTTTGCTTCTCTCTTGACTAACTGTTCTCATTAGGTGCTATTTCAGTGAGATTGCCATGTGACTGTGGGTTCAGTCAGAGCCAAAGTGGACAAACAAAAGCCTGAAGGAGATTGGTACTTAGGTAGCATGTGTGCTGCTGTGTTGCCTGTGGCTAGAGTACTGGGCGTGGTTCCAACTAGGTCAGGTCTGAAAGGGAAAGCTGGGTATCTGAGTCCTCCCATAGGGTGGACCTCTTTTTCTGAGTGTGAGTGGGAGAAAGATTCTGCAGTTACACCAAATCTGGAGACAGAGGGATAAAACTGGGTAGTGATGACTCCAAGGACAGGGGTCTCTGTGTCCCTTACTTGGAGGAGTCTGAGAGAACATTGGGAAGAGTGGAAGCATAGGGCCCCAAAGTTATCTGCAGTATGGGATGGAAGATACATACTCGGTATTAAGAAGAATCGAGAATTTAGAAGCTAACAATAAAAGAGTAACCAAGAGGAGAAATAATTGGAATTTTCCAGAGTACAATTATGTTCAATAAAATATCTTTCCATTTTCATGATCTTCCACTTGACTCAGACCCACTTGATGTCACAACCAACTCCATCCCTGTTCTCCACCCTGGCACCACAGATCGACTCTCTGAGTTTTCTTAAGTTAATCACAAAATATCTATAAACTGCTGTTCTCATAGGAACTTCACGCCTTCATCCATTCAACCTCCGCAGCCCAGACCTTTTACCAAAAATTGTTATTCACAATAACTCTCAGAAAATAAGGACTTTTTTTTTTAATAAGTCAAGCTCACTGGCTTATGGATCACACTTTCTCCAAGGTTCCTTTAACTTTTCTCACTTCTCAAGGAAAAGAGTGTGTCTGCTCTCCTAAGGCCCTAGATTGGTCCACATCTCTCACCACCAAGAGCTGAGCCTATGTGGAGTACACAGTGCCAGAGCAGCTGTTGCTTTTCAGCAGCTGAATAGTCACCCCAAATTCTTCATGTCAGCACAATCTTAGTTACCTGTCACTCTATCAAGCGCAGTATGTGTGTAATTTGTTGGCCCTCATTTTGTGAATAGAGTCCAAGCAAATATTTCTCTCACAAAATCATCTTAATGGGTTCTCAGATGACAGCTGTTTTAGCTCTAATTCAGTTCCCATACCGAGAACTTACCTCTTTCGTCTCTCTTCTTACATTGGTCTTAGTTGTTGGATTCTGTCTTGTAAGGATCACTCCTGTGTTTCTTCAAAAGCAAAATTCAAGTATGGCCATACAAAGTGTTTTCCATACTAAAAGATTTTTGTATAAAAACTAAATATTTGGTGTTTATGTTGATTTTTATTGAATTCTTTCCTTTGTCTAATTTGATAGCCATGTTTGACAAACCTGAAAATTAATCAGAAAATATATCCCAACTCAGACTTCATTGTGTGCAATGTTATACATTTTATATTAAATTGCAGAACACCCATTTTTTACTTTAAAGTTGAATAATGAAAACCTACCTGTTGTGAAAGTTTTATCTTTTTTCCTGAGCGAATATTGGGAGATTTTTGAGCCCAGGTGTACAATGAATTTCAAAAATGGAAAATGTTGATAACTTTCCTGAGAGTTTTTTCCTCTATAATATGTCACTGAAATAAACATGGAAAAGAGAAGTGGGAAAGACTTTAATGGAGCCATCTAGATGTAGCTAGTAATTATAGTTGAGTGAGCTTCATGGACGGGCTCCCCAGTGTTTGTATCACTGTGAAAAAAAATCATATTTTACATGACATTGCTTCTCTAGTCTCTTAATTACTAGCAGTGAAGGGTTTAAGCACAGGACAGCTGGATATTTTCTCTCTGATAGCCACTTTTAATGGTATCTTTGCTTTAACTCATCCTTTGTCAATAGTACTCAATCAGAATTTAATTTTAAGAACATAAACTTGGGAAAACAGACTATTCATCTTAATTACTGAAAACAGGAATAAATATACCTAATATTTAATCTGATTTTTTATTAAAATGGTAACATATTTTAAATTCAGTAGAATCCCAGTCTTGCCCACATGATTCAACCTGCAGCATTTGAAAATATTCATATCTAAGAAGGAAACAGTTAAACAAATTAAGATATTTATATTATTCAGTTAACATATTTCCTAGTCATTAGCCTCCTCTAAAAGACAAAAAGTGTCTCTTTTATGTGCAGTTGTGTCACTAATGCGATCAGTATTTTCCAAATGGAAAATTAAAATTTGATTAAGTACCTGGTAAAAGGTGGATGCCACATTATAGTACTGTAGCTTGTATATTATAGTTTTTTTTTTCCTATTAATTTTCAAAGGGAATTCAAGGCCATCATGGTGCAAAAGGAGAGGTATGTTTCTTCATATATTATGCTGTCTTTCTTCAGTCCTTTTTGCTTGGGTTTCTATACTATATAAATTTAGCTTTTGAGTAAAAACCAGAAAACAGAAAAAATGTTTTCACCTTCTTTAGTAGAAGTTCCCATGAAGCGGTTTTCAGAATATGTACATTTATACTGAATTTGATATGAAATGCAAATTGTTAATATTATTAATTTTTCTTCCAGATTTGGAGGTGATTTTTTTCTCCATATTTTTGAATAAAGATCACTGTGCATTTCTGTATCTTTTGGACCCACTAGAATGCAAGCTCCTTGTGAATAGGACTGTGTTATGTCCATTGTTATATCTCTTGCAGTGTGCATATGACCTACACAGTATACTCAATCAGTAGTGGATGTTTGTAGGTCTGGCTGATTGGATGGATGGATAAATGACAGTTTAATATGATGTGAAATTTCCCTTTTGGTCAATGACAATGTTTCCAGCTATTCGTTATATAGCTTATGTATTTACATATGTATACATTCATATTCACATCCTTATGGAGTTTCCTGATGTAATTATACCTTCTGAAATGTTTAAATAGAACTCGTAAAGATTTCTTTTGTTTTTAGAGAGGTGAAAAGGGAGAACCTGGTATCCGAGGTGACATTGGACCAAAAGGAGAATCTGGGGTGGATGGCTTGATGGGGCCTGGAGGTCCTAAGGGGCAACCTGGGGACCCAGGTCCTCAGGGCCCCCCAGGTTTGGATGGGAAGCCCGTATGTATACTGCTTCTTTCATAGTGATTAGATTTTCATTCATTTTGCTCATGTTTTTTATGTGAATGTTATAACCCCTAATACTTTGATGCAGGGAAGAGAGTTTTCAGAGCAATTTATCCGACGAGTTTGCATGGATGTAATAACAAGTAAGTATCAAATTTAGCATTTTAGTAACTTTTCTCAAATGACAAAAGTAATACAAATTATTAGGACAAATTGTAAAGGATGTAAGTGAGGTGAAGAAGAAAACAGATAACATTGTAAGCCTCATTTACTTTTCTTCAGTGAGCATTCTTGTAAAATATATACTTTTATATATATATATATATATATATATATATATACTCTTGCAATCTTTTAAATAAAGAAATTTATTATTTTATCATTTGAATTTTCTTTTGTAGCATATTTTTTGATAATTTAGTTCATAAATATGGATATCTTTAATTCCACTAATTTCACTTTTCCCCCTATTTTAAGCAATTGCTCTGATAAAATTACCGCACGGAGCAATGAATATTTCCATAGTCAAATTCCTGAAAGGGAAATTATTGGCCAAGAAATTTGCACATATTCAACGCTAATAGTTTTTTTCTCTGTAAACTGAAAAAAAAAATTAGAAATATAACACCAGCTCACCATTTAAACATAAGGGGTGGGGTTTCTTTGTTTTTAAGCACAGCTACCAGTCTTACTTGAGAGTGGAAGAATTCGCAGTTGTGATCATTGCCAGTCCCAACATGGCTCCCCAGGTATTCCTGGGCCACCTGGTCCCATAGGCCCAGAGGGTCCCCGAGGATTTCCTGGTTTGCCAGGAAGAGATGGTGTTCCTGGACTAATGGGTGTCCCTGGACGTCCAGGGGTCAGAGGATTAAAAGGTACGCAGTTAGTTTGAACAAGAAAATGAATTTTAAAAAGGCGTTTGTTTGCATTCTCACCCTATATTCATTTAATAGGCAAGAGTAAACTTTATTTTCATGATTTAAAAAAACCTGTAATGCTCAAGTCTTTAAATAACTTGCCAACTGAATTAAAGGTGAATTATTTTGTTTTCTGAATGCCATATTCTCAAATAGAAGGAGAAGTCAAAGTTATCAACACGTGGTTACAGATTAGAAAATGTTGCCAATGCACTGAGAAATTTCGCTTGAATCTAGAAAAGTATTTAAATAGAAAATCACAGACTCTGTTTCCTTTATTTTGACTTTGGTAACTTTCTGCATTGTTACTTTATTCATTTTTTTTTATTGTAGGAAAAAATAAGTTTTGCAATGAAACTTCCTAATAGCCCAGAACTTCTCCTTGCCTTTGAATGTTTATGTGAAATGTTGTTTCCTAATTCTTTCCTTTTTGTTTAATAGTATATAAACAATTAGATTTTTCATAAAAGTAATTTTAAAAAAAGGCTATGATTAACACAAAGGGCTAATAATTCCAAACCATTTTCTTTTCTAAATATTTGATTTCCATTAAGTTTTGCATCTAAACCAATGATTATTTTAGAAATTATTGCTTCAAAAATTGTTTTCTGTTAGAAAAAATAGATGATGGCAAGCTGGTTTTTAAAAGACATTTTTCTTTCATGTGTATATTAACAGTTTTGAAAGAAACAATCTAGAAGGCAGTGATTTTAAGTAAACTTACTTGGATGTTTGACACCCTGCAGGCATACCAGGAAGAAATGGAGAAAAAGGAAGCCAGGGGTTTGGGTATCCTGGAGAACAAGGTCCTCCTGGTCCCCCAGGTGAGAATTGCTACCTGCTCATAAGTGTTGCAGCTCATTTTGCTTTAAGAAAAGAAATAGATCTATGCGAAATAATTTGAAATTGAGACATCCATTTTCTTTTTTTAGTGATTCCCATCTGACACACTGAAGTCTAACTTATAGAATGTTTTTTCCATATAATCTCAATTTATGAATCATTCAATATTATCTCTTGCTTATCATTTAGTTTAATATTTATTCCTTAGAAAAGTTCTAGAATTGTTTTAGTCACTCCTGCTTATCTAGTGTATAACACTGTTTAGTCTTTATGACTCTCAGGGAAAGAGGGAAGTGCTGCAGTGGGTAAGCAATCTCTGCTAGCGGTGCTATTGAACTCTTCCAGCCTCAGTTTCCTCATTGGTAAAACAGTGATGATAATGTTATCTCCATCAGGACATTATTGGGAGATTAAATAGTTTCTTTATGTAGCAGTTTCAGAACATTGCAGGACAATCACAGTTATTTGTTATTGTTGTAAATATGGCACAAAAATGACTCAGAGCTCTGGCTTATCAATGTATCACCTGCTAATTGATAATAATATTGGCAAAAGATAGGCTGAAAGGAAGAAACAAGATTAGATGATACACAAAATGGAATATTATAATGTTAGCTAAATGTTTTCATCAGTAGCGCGGTTGCTATATTAATACACTTAGCCAAGTTTTCAAAAATTACTGATTACTTTTAGATGGTTCTTTTTAAAGAGAAAACATATAGAATTATGAAGGAAATGTCTCTATAATTAGTGAAAATATATAAAATATTCAAGAGGCTTTTAAAAACATTTTTTCAGTTTAAGTTTCTTGCAGAATCAGGTATTTCACCATTAAAAAAACTAAAGCTCTCTGTTCGCATCTTGCCAATGTCCCGTTTTAGGTCCAGAGGGCCCTCCTGGAATAAGCAAAGAAGGTCCTCCAGGAGACCCAGGTGTACCTGGCAAAGATGGAGATCATGGAAAACCTGGAATCCAAGGGCATCCAGGCCCCCCAGGCATCTGTGACCCATCCCTTTGTTTTAGTTTAATTGCTGGGAGAAATCCATTTAGAAAAGGACCGAACTATTAGTGTCTGATGCCTCATTCAGCAGCCTAGGCATGGTGCTTTTCTTCTGTGGTCTTTTGCATCTCAGGAAGATAACCAACAGTCATCCCTTGAAAAAAAACTAATGTACCTCGGTGATTTTATTTTTTTTTCTTATGGAAAAAAATATAAAACGTCACATATACTGATTTTAAAGGCTCCTCAGTCATTTGGAGGTCTTGGATTAGCAGCAGTAATTAAATCTCAAGGGTTTCTTGTAAAGTTCATTTATTTTAATCAAAGTTGAATATAAAAATCCACCATTGCCTGTTAGCCAGTCAATTTTAGTCACTGTGAAATATTTCACATTCAGCCTCCACGTAGTAGAGATTTGAGTTTATTTCATGTCTATGTGACTTTCGTGTTTCTTATCTCATAGCTTATGCTACTGCATAAGCCAAAACATGTATCTGGTCATTGAAAGCAAGATCAGGGCTGATATTCACTTAGGATAGATAGTATTGGTGAAATACTCATTTACTACAGTGTCTATGCCTATTGATAAGGGACAGTGGATTGCTTGTTGTTCAGTATTTTGAATAGCACCTCTGAATAAGGTTAGTGTGTTTCTTAATTCATTCTTAAACTCTAAAATAGATTAATGGTGATGCTAAGAAAGAGTATTAATTACATTGGGAATGATCAAAATTATTTAACATTAAAAACATTTTATATAAAAAGTTTCATTGTATATATTCAAAGAAAATGCAAGTTCAGAAATACTAAAAGGCTGTATTTTATCCTTGTTGATTAATCAGAGTGTTTTTTGTATGCCTTCATTTTCCATTTCGCTTATCTGTGTATGTCCATATATGTCAATTTTCATGGTAGCAAACCTAATGGAAATAAACGCTCTAGTTGAAAGAAAAGGAAAACTCCTCAAATTCTAGAATGTCTTGGTATTTTTAGCTGACTTAAAAATATTATGAAAAGTCTTTGTATATTGTTCTTAATGCTTTTGTAATAAACAGAATTTGAAATATTTCATCCTTGTCATGCTTAAAATTTTGTTACATGCTTGTTATTCAGAATATAATAAAGTTTTGTACAGGCCTGATGATAATGTCTTTTCTTATACCTGATTTTAACTGATTGTTAAATATGGTATGTATATCCCATGGTCATTTATTCGATGAATATAATTTATTAAATTATTCACCCTTTTCTCAAAACAAAATGTGTTCCCCTGAAATAAGATATTACAAATTGAGTGAGTGTGCTAAGCACCTGAACAGTTACAGCACTGGCTTCCTGGCTCAGTCATGGCTGTTGCCCAATGTTTAACTTTATTGTCATGTAGATAACATGATGAGGACTTTGGAGGAGACTAAAATCCATGATGTTTAGTGGCTGAATGAGCATAAGGCGCCTTTTGATGTTTTACCTCCAGTAAAGCCCCAGGTATCTGCTTAAGCCTATAAACCTATTACCCCTGCTTTAATTATGACAGTTGCTTCTAAGAGCTGGTTAAGAAGCAGAATAAAGCCATTGGTATCATTGATTTATTCATCCAGCAGTACTCACCACATAGCTAGGTTCTGTGCCTGGGATACAATGGCAATATAGTTTGAATTTGGCCTGAGGGAACACGTGTGTAATGAGACACATGTAGGTAAACAGGTGATTCCATACATAGGAGAAAATGCAATTGAAATGTAAAAGATGATGTCATAGACTGAATCGTTGCCCCCTAATTCATATGTGGAAACCCTGACCCCCAATGTAACTATATTTGAATATAGGGCTTTCGGGAGGTAACTAAGATAAAGGAGGTCATAAGGGTGGAGTCTTAATCCCATAGAATTGGTGGTTTTATAAGAAGAGGAAGAGGTTGCTCTCCCTAATACCCTCCCTCCCTTCATCTACTTCATCTGCCTCATGGCCTTCCAGCTCTCACGCCCAGGGAAGGCTCTGTGAGTACCTTGTGAAAAGGTGACTTTCTGCAACCTGGAAGAGGGACCTCACCAGAACCTGACTATACTGGCACCCTGATTTCAAACTTCCAGGCTTCAGAACGGTATGAACAAAAATTACTGTTGCTTAAGCCAGCAAGTCGATGATATTTTGTTATGGCATTCCAAGCAGAGTAATGCAGATTATAGCAGGCTAGGAGGTATTGGCATAACTGAGTCGGTAAAGATAATGCAAATGAGCAAAGGGTGGAGGGCTAGAAAAGGCATGAAGTATTTCCGCTTTAAAATTTGGCATCTCAAGATGAACTGGTTCCATAATTTAGCATGGTATATGTTGTATCATAGTTTTGCCTTGGAAAAATTTAAGGCGAACTCATAATACGCTGATTTTCAAGAGTGGATAGGTGAAAAATCTTGTTCTGCAGGTACATTTTTGCAGCGTAATTGTTCCTCAGAGCCATGCAAGGCCGTTTAGTGTGGTTTTTGTCCTGAGATTTCTTGCATTCAAATTCCTAATTTTTGTTTCTAGTCGTGAGGCTTCAGAAAATTTATTTACATCTTTGTGCTTAAATTCTCTCATATGATAAGTTGGGGGTATTAATAATACTTATAGTATTAAAAAGGTTAAATGACACAAAAGAAATTCATCAGCGAAATAAAGTCATACAATTTACCAGAACGATACAGAAAATATGGGGTTACCAACTCTTTGTTTTTGGCTTTTTTCTTCTTTTTTTCTTTGAGATGGAGTTTCACTCTTGTTGAGTCCAGGCTGTAATGCAGTGGTGTGATCTCGGCTCACTACAACCTCTGTCTGCCGCTTCAAGCGATTTTCCTACCTCAGCCTCCTGAGTAGCTGGCATTACAGGCGCCGGCCACCATGTCTGCTTATTTTGTATGTTTAGTAGAGACAAGGTTTCTCCTTGTTGGTCAGGCTGGTCTCTAACTCCTGACCTCGTGTTCCGCCTGCCTCAGCCTCCCAAAGTGCTGGGATTACAGGCATGGGCCACCGAACCCATCCTGTTCAAATCATTTTATATGTGTGTAACTGATACTCAATAAAGTTGATCAGATTCATTGGCATTCATCCTGAATGTCAATTCAGAATGAAACTCTCGGTCTTAAGGGTAAAAATCATCTCGGTAAAGGCTGCCTTTGCATGATTTTAATAATTTTCCTCTAAAATGTAAAGTAGAGACAATTTAGGAAAAAACCTTTGGGATTTATAGTCTTGTGGTACTATACTTTGTCCCTGGTACTTAGAACTTTGCTAGGTGCTTGCTCTAATTTTTATCATAAAGAGATTTTTCAATTAGAATTGAGCTGCGAGAACTCAACGTAGAACTCTTCCTTTGATCCCCAGTAGAGGGCAGCAACACACACACACAATATGATAAGCTTTTCTTCATTATATTAATATCTAAGTTATCACTATATATCTTTAGCCTGCACATTTTCTCATTTTTTAAAGTATAGTTAGATTTATTTTCTTCCAACTTAATTATTGCAAAGAAGAAAAAAGATTGTTTTCATAAGTTGAACACCTAAATCACAATTAAAGCAGCCATTTGTATTTTGATGTCATGCCTATCTGCTTTACCTTTGTATAGTTTCATTTGTTAAAGCCCTCAGCTAGGAGGTTTGGTTAATTCTTCTGATCGATAATGTTATCATCCAAGGCAATGTTCAAAGCTCACTCCTGGTAGTCCTAAATTATAGATCTGGCCTATTCAATGTGCCTTACCTTGGGGAGACAGAAACTTGTCCTTATCACTATCTAGAGATTGTAATTAATAGTCAAAGGACATGTCATCATAATCCAGGCACAATAGGTTGTATAAAATAACACAAAAAGTTAGCAGCTCTGTTTCCTAAAGCACTGAGAGCCTCATCTTTGAGGACTGGGAAACAGAATGGGGAGCACAGAGGGACACCTCAAATTCAGAGTCACTTCTGTAGTTTTAAGGTGAAAGACCCAAACTCAACTCATAGTTTAGTTAAATTTAGCTGCAAAGATTTATCTTTGGAATATATTAACCAAAATTTTGTTTTGCTCCAATAACACATTTGAAATAAGGAACATTAATGATAACCCATTGTGTTATTCCTGGATTATGCCTTCTCAAAGTAGATTTTCACACAGAAATTTTAAAGATTCCAAAACTCTCATATTAATATCACTTTTAACTTACTTTAGATTCAGGGGTACCTGTACAGATTTGCTACGTAGGCACACTTGTGTCATGGGGTGTTGTTGTACGGATTATTTCATCGCCCAGGTATTAAGTCTAGTACCCATTGGTTATTTTTCCTGATTCTCTCCCTCCTCCCACCCTCCACCCTTCACCTTCCAAAAGGCCCCAGAGTGTGTTGTTCCCCTCGATGTGTCTATGTGTTCTCATCATTTAGCTCCCACAAGTAAGTGAGAACATGTGGTATTTGGTTTTCTGTTCCTGGGTTAGTTTGCTAAGGATAAGGCCTCCAGCTCCATTCATGTCCCTGAAAGGAACACGATTTAGCTGGTGAGGTTGTGAAGAAAAGGGAATGCTTATACACCACTGGTGAGAATGTAAATTAGTTTGTCATGGAAGACAATATGGTGATTTCTCAAAGATCTAAAACAAAAAATACCATTTGACCTAGCAATCCCATTACTAGATATATACCCAAAGAAATACAAACTGTTCTATTAGAAAGATGCATGCATACATTATGTTTATTGCAGCACTATTCACAATAACAAATACATGGGATCAACCTAAATACCCATTAATGATAGATTGGATAAAGAAAATGTGGTACATATATACCATGGAATACTATGCAGCCATATTGATATCTTAAATAAAAATGACAACCTGAAATAGCTGACTGAAGGATCATTTTGAAGAAAGCAAGAACTGACAGGCAGTGAAAGTGTTTTACCATTGTGTCCCCCATTCAGTTGCTACTTCAAAATAATATTTAAAAATCAAATTTATAAAGTGTCTATAGCTGTGATTGACATTCAAAGAATAATTAATTATGACATACATTATTTTGGGGAAACAAAGGTAAAAAGAATCCTGTGACATGATCTTGGATAAACTTGATAACTTCCCTGAATGAGTTTTTAAAAAGTAAAACAAGGGTTTAGATTACTATCTTTACCAACACTGGCTGTACATTGGAAACACCTAGGGAGCTTTTAAAAAATATCCTTGCTTGTGTCCGACCCAGAGGTTCTAGTGTAACTGGTTTGGCTTCCAGGCAGGGGAAACAGTTTGCATAAAGGCCTTGAGCCTGAGAACATAGCTCAATGGGAGGGAAAGTAATTCTACATTTTTGGATTTCAGGAAACTGATGATGGTGAGAGGTAAAAGGTAAGGGTAGAGATAGAGTAAGAAAAGGGATGGAGAGGGAAGAAAGATATCAAAAATCTTGCAAAATTTTAAGGAGGAAGTAGCATGAAGAGATTTGCATTTTAAATAGGTCACCCTAGCTGCAGAGAAAATACTGTAGCCCCTCCTTATTTGAGTGGGTGATGTTCCAAGATCCCCAGTGGATGCCTGAGACCACAGACAGCACTAAATCCTATATACACTGTTTTTTCCTGTAAGTATATACCTATGATAAATTTTAACTTATAAATTAGGCACAGTAAGAGATTAACAACAAGTAACACATAATAGAATACTTGTTCTAACAATATATTCTAATAAAAGTTATGCAACTGTGGTCTCTCTTTTACACACACACACACACACATAATCCTTTATTGCATGTAAAATTTTCCATCCAAGGTTGGTGGTGGACAAATGAAACCTTGACAATTGAAACTTCAAGTAAGGGAATGACTATTGCTGACAAAACAAGCAAGAATGCAAGTGGAGAAGCTAATTAAATGTCATTTTAGTGGCACTGAGGATAATGGTGAAAATAATGGAGTATGAGACAAGCAGAGGGGTTAGGAAAAAAGACCATCAATTTATTAGTTTCTACTATAATCACTGCGAACTTTCACAATGTACCCACGGCACCCTCAGTGACTTGAGGAAGTTGGAGGCTTACCATTCAATAGTGTGAAATAAAGACCTGAACAAAATGTTTCAGGCTTTGCTTCTTGTTGTCGGACATAGAATAAGCTTGTTTGCAGAGATAAAGG